GACCCCAGTGGGGCCACGGATCTGCCCAGGAAAGTTTGTCTGCGAGCACAGGTGGCACCGAGGCACTGGCTGCCTCTGGGTTTGAGGGCACCCTGGTTTCAGGCACTGACATATTGACCTCGATTCCCCCAACCCAGAAATCAGTGCTTGCCTTTGGAACGACTCCCGTCCACGGAACCCAGGCTCAGAAGGGGGTAGGAGGCGGGTGGGTGTATTAAAGGGAAACTTGGGGCTGAACAAACTGGACCCCTTCGGGCAGGAAAGGAGAAGGAGCAGTTCCTGGAAGAAGGAGATGAGGCTCTCGGGCAGTTGATTTGTGAGGGAATGATGGTCTTGTTATTATGGAGGTTAATAATGGTCACCCCTGGTACTGCGGGGCCAGCCTGCAGAGATGATTTCTACACAATCCTTTCTCAGGGAGCCTTCTCTCCAGAAGCCAGGGGTTCCCCAACTTGGCTGTGATGGGGGAGAATAAAATAAAGACCTTCCCCTCTGCCCCTGCCCTTTCCTCTCCCACTCCTTGAGGATTCCAGCAAAAAGGGAACCTTATAAAATCTCCATGCCTGCCCTCATTTTCCTCTGCTCTCTTCAGTTCACTAAAACTCACTGGCTTTGGGTGTTGGGTTTTTGTGGGGCGCCCTTCTGGTGAAGCTCGGTAGGCAGTTACTAGACCAAGTCTCCCCGAGTCCTGTCTCTGACCCTGGAGGAGACCCTGGCTTCCCTTGCTTGCTCCATGGAATGCTCCGTCTGTCCTTAAACTTGCCAGTCTCTGTCTTCTTTGGTCCCGGGTGCCTGATCCCATGGGTCTCTGGGAGCTCAGAGGCCACAAACAGATGAGGGCAGATGCCCTCATCAACCCCCAAAAGGGATTGCAGCTTCCTATCATCACCTTAATTCTGAGAGCACCAGGCAGGGAGCCTTCCATAAAAGACCCTAAAGCCAGCATAACTCCTGAATCTTTCAAAACTGCATTTAAGCTCCTTTAAAAGCAGACGTCCTTCCCCCCTAAACAGGAAAGCTTAGGTCACAAATCTCCAGGGGCGCAAGCTTCCTGCACCCTTAGTCAGAATGTTGACAACAACAATATTCATAATAATACGAATTAAAGCTTGCATCAAGGGAGAAAGGGACACCCCAGTCCAAGTTTTAAAGGGGTTATAATCCAGCAGCCTTGGCCTGGAGTGGGGGGTCAGTGAGGCCAGGATGAGCAAAGAAGGCGGTGGGGAACCCAACCTCTTCTAACTAACAATTTCTCCAGCATAAAAATGAAACATCAAATTCGTTAGCCCAGGGCCTTCATTTTTCCCCTTCCACATTATAACTAGTTATTGAACTCGCTGGAAGATCTAAAGGCCATTTGCGAAGAGACAAATTTCAATGGAGTTTCCCCATCAATAACCCCATGGCAGTGACCTATTGGAACAAGTCAAACACCCGAGGTGAAATGCAGGTCACTCTGTCTAACCAATATTAAAATGCGGCCACTTTTTAAAAAGCCACTTTAAACGAGATTTGAGGAAAATTGAATTCCAAGGAAGGCGAGGCAAGGAGGGGGAAATCCATGAGAGGACCTTGCCTATGGTCTTGGAACAAACAAGGGAAATTTATCTTTAATATTTTAAAGGGGGGCAAATTAACATTCCATGATTGCTTTTTCCCCCCCAAGACTATAAGCGATTCCAGGAGAGAGAGAAAAAAAAGGTTGAGTATTTTCTGGTGACACGTCCAGGTTATTAAAATCATTTTAGACCAATTCATTACTTTTACTGACAAGAGATTTAAGAAAAAATCAATTAAGCATTTGCATATTCTTTTGCATACATTAGCCCTGCCTGCTGGCATTAGAAAGGGACAAAACACACACACACACACACACACATACATACATACATACACACAGAGGGGAAATGGGATAAGGGTCTTGCTTTAGTTTGGGGTTTTCAAGTTGTTTGGAGAAAAGAATAAAAATGAAATGAGTTATTTGATTGCATACTATCTAAAAGTCAATTTATTTCAGGAAGAAGAAAGAGATATGTTGCCATTTTCAATCTCTAAAATAACAAAAACCACATACATACACTAAAAGCAAAACCCTGCACTTCTGCAAACGGGAAAGGAATGACTCTCATTTTCCTTCTCTTTGCTTTCCAAATCCTGCATTGGATCTCCCATTTATTTTTCTCCCTAGGAAAATTCAGGGAGTCTGAGAGGTGGATTTTAATGCAGCACAGAATCGGTGGAGCTGCTGAGGTCTCTCAGCCGGCGGCAGCGTGTTACTGGGGAGGGGAGGAATATGGGTTATCCAACGGTCAGTATGGTAATCCGGGCACAATAAGGCCTCGCACACAATGGACACATATTTTTCTTCAGCGGTGTCAGAAGGGAAGCGCTTTGTACTGAAACGTGTTTCCGAAAGAGAAACCAGATCGAGATTTAGAAAGGATATGGGGTCGGGGGCATTCGGAGAGTGTTTGGAAGCTGGCAAAAGGTAGTCAGAAAAAAATAAAAAATAAAATTGGGTCAGAGAGAGGTGGAGGGCAGAGCCAGGCGGAGAGTAGAGAGATCCTTGGGTTGGCAAGGCCAGAGGCAGGAGGGCGATGCACAAAAGGAGGCAGGACCAGACCAGATACTAGGCGTCACTGCAGGAGAGAGCCGCTGCTTTAGTGCCCCCCCCACCCCCCCCCAATTAAGCCAATGCTAAGTGCAGGCGTCTTCCGTAAGGGTTTGATTTCCGTACTGCTAATAAGTGAAAATGCTTGTATGTGTGTGTGTGGTGCGGTCTGGCTTGCTATTTTCCCCATGTGATAGGCGACTTCCTTGCTATTAAGCTATAGAAGCCCAAAGAGAGGTTTTTTGGTAAATGATATAGATAAGTGTGGGCATATTTGGGGGAATCTCCCAGATTTCACTTTATGAATGTGCATGTTGAATCAGCTGTGCAAGCCTGGAATGAGAACCCCACATATATTTGTGGCTGCATAAGGATGCATTTAATATATTAATAAATATTAATAGTATATATTTGTTAGCTGTAATAACCAAAGACAGATTTGACATTTAGTTGGAGGCATCTGAACTCTCTGTATCTACTTACACATACTGGCCTGAAGTGGGTTTCCTGCTCCCGCTCCCTCTAGCCACCTGCAGGAGCTCAGAATCCTGGGGAGTAAGCTGGTAGGGTGTGGGGTGGGCAATACCTTGGGAAGGACTCCCTAACAAGCCCAAGAGGGTAAGGAGACAGAAGAAATGAGGACTGAGGTGGAGGCAGGGCTGGCAGAGGTGAGTGTGAGGGCTGAGAGAAGGGGAGCCAGGCCAAGACCTCACCAGGTCAAGTGGGGAAAAGAATAAATATCTGGGCTAGATTGGGGCGGGCGGCCTGACCCAGGTGCTGGCCTGGAAGAGAGGTTGGGGGTGGGGCTGGAAGGCTCTCAGTGCCTTCAGCTCCCCTACCCCCCGCCTGAGAGTCACAGAGCTTTGGCCCTCCCCTGGGGGCAGTCTGGGGCCGTGGTGCAGACTCCTAGGTAGGTCAGCATTCAGCGTTGGTTTCCCTTTGCCCTCTTCTTGCTTCCCCCCCAACCACCAATAATTACAAAAAAGAAAACCCTCACGCACTCCAAACCACTATCAACCCAACAGCAGCCTTCCCCTCCTCAAAGTCTCAAGTTCCTCTTCCAACCAAACTAGCCGGTCCACACACGAAGAGGGTCCCGGACAGGCATGGGCAGGGGATCTCAACCAACTGTGGGCATTTGGGAATCTCCTCCAAGAGATGGTGCACCTCCAGGGAATTCCTGTCCCCTCACCCACCTGATGGCAGGGGGCAGGGCATCCAGGGACCCCTCTCCAGGCACCTGTGCTGAGGGTGGGAGGCCTGAGCATCTGAGGAGGGAAGGCAGCCAGGGCCCAGGTGGAGGAGCAGCCCCTTTAGGCATCAGCTGTGGCCCAGTATAATTCCTGCCTTAGGGTGAGCCCTAATTTGGAAGTGGGGACCCTCTCTTGCATCCCAAAGGTGGTGAGAGACAGGTTGAGAATCTCCCGCCTTCAGTCTCCCTCTCACAAGGGCTTTATTTTTTCTCTTCCCCTCCTCATTCCCTTAATTGCAGATGTTCTAATTAAACCCTCAAATAGTTGTTATGCCGTTTTAAAAGGTACTTATTCAAGTGTCAACCAGGCTGGGCTGGGAGGAGGCAGCGTAGGGCGGCGAATTAAAGGTAGATTGACTAATCACGGCGGCGATCATAATAATAAAATCAGAGGGGGAAAAATCACATTACGACTTTTCGTGGAAAGGAGGGAGCAGGCAGCCAGCGGCCGCCAGCCCTGCGCCGCCGCCGACACAAAGAGTGCGGGCGATTCCGGGAGACTGATTTATGACGTTTTACAGCCCTATAAAAGCTGTAGCGACGAGGCAAGCGCTCCTACCACCGCTGGCAGATTTAGTCTAATAAATAAAACATAAACAGTTAACTTTATGTGTCACTTTTATTGTTATCAAGTAAAATATAGCTGAGCCCCGGCAAGCTATGATTTTAAACTATAATTGTTATCAAGTACAAGGGGACCCGGCTCCCTCCCTGGGCTCTCCCTTCTGCCATCCCCCCCCCAACTCTGTGTTATGGGATCAGTTAATTGGAATTGGTGGCAGGACGTGGCCACCCCTATCTGCAGAGGGGGGGTGAGAAGCAACCCTTCTTGCCCCCTCCTCCCTCCATGGCCCTGCCACCCTGGACACAAGGGAATTCCTGTGGGTTGGTGGCAGAGAAAGGGGAGGGGGTAGAAATGGACGGGAGACATCTCCCCCCTTAGGTGTGCCCAGCCTACCCAGCTGGGTGAGCTCACCCCTCAGCTTTTGGAAGGCAGCCTGGATATGGCCTTTGGGAATGTGTGTTTACATGTAAACACATGTGTTACATGGATACAATCCCTGGCCCCAAGCAAGCCCTATCCACACAGGCCTGCCTCCCTCTTAGCTAGGTCTGCCCTCTGTGGGGATGGAAAAGGAAGAGCGCCCAGGGCCCTGGCGGGACACAGCTCAGGCGGCGCTGACTCCTGGCAGGTCTCTCTCCTCCTTGCCCCAGCTCCTCAGGAAGCAGCTTGCAGGCAGTGGTCAGAAAGCAGCAGGCCAGACCGAATGGAGGGTGGGAATAGCAAGCGGCAGTAGAAGAGGTACTAGGTTCCTGGGCTGGGACAGGGAGGCTCAGTGGGTGCTCGGGAGGGCAAGGCTGCTGAACTCTGCTTTTGCCAACCACTTCCTGTCTCTCTTCAGCGGGGGCTCAACCCCCAGACCTCCAGAAATGACGTCAGAATCATTTGCATCCCACTGCCTCTACCTGCCCGGTCCAGCTGGGACCCTGCCTCGCCGGCCCCTTGGCCAGAGGGTTGGGTGAGTGTGTATACACGGGGAGGGGCTGGACTCTGGTATGCTTGGATGGGGGGCACCCCAGGCTCTTCAGCCTCCTGGGCTCAGCCTGGGCTCCTCCCCATCCAACCTCCACTCCAGTCCTCATTCAACTTCCTCTTCCTGCGAAAGAGGGGCGCTGCCCGGTGACCTCCACAGACAGACAGGATCGCCATGCCTGGAAACCTCCGGAGAAGCTCAGGAGCTGAGGCCCCAGGGGCCCATCGGCAGCCCAAGGGGAGACTTCAGGAGCGGGCTGAGTCACAGCCTCCCGACAGCCCCTCAATGCCCAGGCTGGGGAGGAGCGCTGGGGGCGTCCTCTCCTTTCACAGGGGAGGGCTGTCAGTCTGTGGGGTGTGCACTGAGACACCCCAGCCCCTGCCAGCTAACCCCACATCAGCACCACCACCACCCCAGCAGCAGCACCACCACCACCACACACACAAAAAAATTGGATACATTTTGAATAAAGCGATTCGGTTCCTTATCCGGGGACTGGGTTGCTCCGTGTGATTGGCCGGCGGAGTCACATGGTGAAAGTAACTTTACAGGGTCGCTAGCTAGTAGGAGGGCTTTATGGAGCAGAAAAACGACAAAGCGAGAAAAATTATTTTCCACTCCAGAAATTAATGATCATGAGCTCGTATTTGATGGACTCTAACTACATCGATCCGAAATTTCCTCCATGCGAAGAATATTCGCAAAATAGCTACATCCCTGAACACAGTCCGGAATATTACGGCCGGACCAGGGAATCGGGATTCCAGCATCACCACCAGGAGCTGTACCCACCACCGCCTCCGCGCCCTAGCTACCCCGAGCGCCAGTATAGCTGCACCAGCCTCCAGGGGCCGGGCAATTCGAGAGGCCACGGGCCGGCCCAGGCGGGCCACCACCACCCCGAGAAATCACAGCCGCTCTGCGAGCCGGCGCCTCTCTCAGGCGCCTCCGCCTCCCCGTCCCCAGCCCCGCCAGCCTGCAGCCAGCCAGCCCCTGACCATCCCTCCAGCAACGCCAGCAAGCAACCCATAGTCTACCCATGGATGAAAAAAATCCACGTTAGCACGGGTAGGCAACTTTGCTTTTTGCTCTCCCCCTCCCTCCCCTCTTCCCCAGCGCTCCCCACCCTCCCCGGCCCCCTCTGGCCCCCGTCCTCCTTTCTCTCCTTCCCCCTCTCTCTCCAGGAGCGACTCTGGGTTAGCACAATTGAACTGGATTTACGAGCGAGAATGGGTAATTACATCCCCCATAAATTTTATGGCTTAGCTACTCTGGGCAGTCCGAGCCATGTGCTACGATCTGTTATGTATGTGTGAAAACTATGCTCGCTTTCTAAGGGCGCATAAATAATTCAGTGTCGTTACAATGAGGATTCCCCTCTTATTACACTACAAAGTCTCCAGCTCCTTCAACTTCTTTATAACCCATTTAGCTTGATGACTTTATTTCCACCACCCCCTCCTCCTGTTCCACAGAGCTGAGGTCGGGGTGAGGGTGGGGGCAGGGAGCTGCTGCCTCTGAACCCCACTATTTGCTTTTCCCCTCCCCAACCCCCCCCAGTGAACCCCAATTATAACGGAGGGGAACCCAAGCGCTCGAGGACAGCCTACACCCGGCAGCAAGTCCTGGAATTAGAGAAAGAGTTTCATTACAATCGCTACCTGACCCGAAGGAGAAGGATCGAGATCGCCCACTCGCTGTGCCTCTCTGAGAGGCAGATCAAAATCTGGTTCCAAAACCGTCGCATGAAATGGAAGAAGGACCACCGACTCCCCAACACCAAAGTCAGGTCAGCGCCCCCGGCCGGCGCTGCGCCCAGCACCCTCTCGGCAGCCACCCCGGGCACTTCTGAAGACCACTCCCAGAGCGCCACGCCGCAGGAGCAGCCGCGGGCAGAGGACATTACCAGGTTATAAAACATAACTCACACCCTGCCCCCACCCCATGCCCCCATCCTCCCCTCACATACAAATTGACTCTTATTTATAGAATTTAATATATATATATTTTGGTTCTTTTCTCTCTTCTTCCCACCTTATCCCTTGTCAGTTCCAAACAGACAGGACAGATAAACAAACAAGCCCCCTGCCCTTCTCTCCCTTCTACTATTAAGGACCCTTAAAGCATGTGATGTTGTCTTAGCATGGTACCTGCTGGGTTTGGTTTTGTTTTTTTAAAGGCCATTTTGGGGGGTTATTTATTTTTTAAGAAAAAAAACTGCAAAAATTATATATTGCAAGGTGTGCTGGTCTGGTTTGGGTGAATTTCAGGGGAAATGAGGAAAAGAAAAAAGGAAAGAGATTTTTAAAGCTAATTCTCATCCTTCTCCTCCTCCTCCTTCTCCCCCCTCTTTCCTTAGGCCTTTTGCATTGAAAATGCACCAGGGGAGGTTAGCGAGAGGGAAGTCATTTTAAGGAGAACAAAGCTATGAAGTTCTTTTGTATTATTGTTGTGGGGGGAGGCTGGGAGGGGATGGGGGAAGACAGCAGACAAAGCTAAATGCATCTGGAGAGCCTCTCAGAGCTGTTCAGTTTGAGGAGCCAAAAGAAAATAAAAATGAACTTTCAGTTCAGAGAGGCAAGTCTATAGGTAGAATCTCCCCACCTCGCCCCCCATCGTGGTTATTGTGTTTTTGGACTGAATTTACTTGATTATTGTAAAACTTGCAATAAAGAATTTTAGTGTCGATGTGAAATGCCCCGTGATCAATAATAAACCAGTGGATGTGAATTAGTTTTACGTCAATGTCTGATGGTTTCTTTTTATCCTCCTCTTTCTGGTCTGGCAACATCCCACCTTCTCTATAGTTACCTAAGTTTACTCTAAGCAAACACACAAACCTTAACTCTCAACTCTAGTTTTACAATATCCTTAAAAGAACCAATGAGGGGGTTGGGTTAGGGGATCCTCAGAAGAGGGCATGTGGAAGATGAGAGCTGATTTCTCCTGTCCCTTACCTCTGACTTTGCAGAGTTCAGACTTTCATGGGGTACTTACAGTGGGGCTGGGGGGGGGGGCAATGGGGTCTCACTTTTCTATAGTTAGGCACAGTGCTTTCTTTTTTCTGTTTCCCTCTCCTACCTTCTCCCTTCTCCGTGCTGAACAGGCCTGCCTAATTTCAGACAAGAAGGCAAGTTTAGGTAGAAGGGAAAAGAGTTTTGATCTTTTAGGGCTTTTTTTTTTTGGCGGGGGGAGGAATTAAGAAAGATGCCCCTTCAACATGTACCTTCTCCTTAAAAGAAGAAAGATTTTGAGCTGGTGACTCTGAAGCAGCAAAGTGACCTGTCAGGATGGCTTCTCTGTTTGTTTAGACTTGGAAAGAAGGGTGAAGTGGAGGCCAGAGGCCTGGGAGGCCCCTTGCATGGGTAGGCCTCAAAGCCTGATGCCTGGAGATAATGAAGAACTTTTATTCCCCCACCCCCTAACTTTTTATCATGGACCTGCCAGGTGTTGAGAAAAGATGCAGGGAGAGGCAGGGACCACCCTGTTTCAGCAACCTCCCAGGTCCCGGCAAAGCTAAGGGAAGGCTCTCTGGCTGTAAAATTTTTGTTTTAAACTTATTTCCTTGGGGCTAAAAACAAAAAGAAGCAAAATAAGAAAACTGGTCTGGATTCCCTGAATAGTTAATTTAAGCCAAAGGTTCCCAAATAATTCTGGTTCTGAAGACCAAGCTCTAAGCATGACCTGCTCAAATTTTTGCTTGTTTGTTGGGATGTGGGGGAGGCAGCTGGCGGGTTTCTCAGGCAATTTATCCAAATTTTAGGATGGAGCACTATCAGAAGTAGAAAAGAGAAGGAGGAGAGATCTGGGTACGTAGAGGAGCCGGGGATACTCCTTCCCTTTCTCCCCAGATTCTGGAGCGAAAGGCAACAAGGGGACCAAGTTGTAAAAAGCTGTTTGGTGTGCTCTGGATTTATTTCCTCTTGTACCACTTGCTGGCTGGCTGGTTCTTGGAGGGGTGTGTGTGTGTGTGTGTGTGATGAAAGATATAAGTGTGTGTGTGTGTGTGTGTGTGTGTTGAGGGGAATCATTTGGTCCTGTAGGTCTACTTTCTCCTCCCTCAATGGTGCCCTGGAGACAGCAAAACATGCTGCCTACAGTGCAAGGAAGCAGGGCCAACAATTATCTAGAGTTATTTTATGTAATCAAGTGAATTAGGGGCCAAATCTAACTGGAGCTGCTGTCATCTTGAGGGAGTTGACTTTGGGGCAGGAAGAGAGGGTCTCGCTGTGCTTGGGAAAAGGAAAGGAAGGCCTGAGGGGTGGACCTGCGTGTCTTTCCAATCCTGTGAGGAAGCTAAGATGGGAAGAGAGGGGTGGAAAAAGAAAATTAAGATCCATAGTCCTTTCCTAACTTTGCTCGTTTGGTTTCAGGGGAATTTATTCCCTCCCCTCCTGAAAATGGAAAAGATGAAAGCAAAGAGGGGGGAAACCACTGTCTTTTATTTCTTCAGCTTCTCCCTGAACTTGTTGAAGGAAAAGCAGATTAAAAGAATTGGGACAGGCTTTTATTTCCCCTCTTTAGGGGCTCCGGTTTCTCCTTCTGCTCCTCACACATATACGCATGATCATTCTTTCTGTATCTCTATCCCTCTTGGTCTGAAACATCAGAAATCCATAATTCTTGACCAATAAAATAAAACTAAACCCCTTTACATTTGAGTTTTTAAGATTTCGGCCTCTGGTCTTCCCTCCAGTGGGCTCCATTCTC